AATTATTTTCATATAGAAAAAGTTTTTTAGTCCAACTCCACATTAAAAGAGAGGTTCAGAATATGTTACAAGTGCAGAAATACATCACTCCAGTTTGGATAATATTAAAAAAACCAAATGAACGTCCCCTTTATCTACTCCAAAACTCTGCTTTGAATATAACCTTTCAGCTTCATAAGAAAAAGTAATTCTGAGGAAATCAAGCATTAAATACTCCAAAAGTTTATTTTTAGTAATTATATTGTCTTTAATACCCACCAGTTTGGAAAAATTTTGGAATCCCTTTTGCATATGTACTGCATTATCAGACAGAAGAGAGTTTCTGCCCTCAATGGAGGATAGAGTACTTGGACAGAAAACATATCTGGACAGGAAATAAAGTCGGGAGAAGTACATTATCTTTGGCATATCCAAATTTAACAACTTGCAACTACCTTCAAGCAACATTGACAGTTAAGTTCCCAAATGTTCAAACATTTATTGCTTATACAATTCAGTATCAGCACATGCTTGGAGAAATGTAATACCATGCATTATTTTAAACAGGATTATTTTCCCATACCCTGGAAAAGGATATGAATTTCATGCACTTTAACACAGTGAAGTAATTATAATTTTAAAGAGCTTTTAATGCAGGTATTTCAGTATTCAATAAGGTGTGTGGGAGCTGTGGAATAACCCTTTTACATATAAGGTTTCTCTGTGAAATTGAGAAATAATGAAAAAAATCATTCCAAAGGAAATAAATGCAGGAAATATTTTCTGTACTATTTCACCAAGAAGCTATTAGAACCTTAAGATTATTTACAAAAGAATCAACTCCCATTTTTTATCTCCGGATATTTCTGAGCTGAGTGGTGTGGTTGACATACCTGGAGAATGGGATTCCATCCAGAGGGACCTGGACAAGCATGAAAAAAGGGCATATGGGAATCTCCAGATGTTTAACAAGACCAAGCACAAGGTGTTGCACCTGAGTTGGGGCAGCCCCAGCATGAACACAGGCTGGGGATGAAAAGATCCAGAGCAGCCCTGCTGAGAGGGACTTGAGGGTGCTGTGAGAGGCTGGACATGACCCAGCCATGGGCACTCACAGCCCAGAGAGCCAAAGGTGTCCTGGGCTGCATCCAGAGCCCCGTGGGCAGGAGGGGAGGGAGGGGATTCTGCCCCTCTGCTCTGCTGAGGTGCCCCCAGAGTCATGCACCCAGCTCTGAGGCCCCAGCACCAGGAAGGACACGGACCTGCTGGAGCAAGTGCAGAGAGGCCACAAAGACAGTCAAAGGGACCACAAAGACAGTCAGAGGGAGCACCTCTGCTGTGAGGAAAGCCTGACTGATTTGGGTTTGCTCACCCTGGAGAAAAGAAGGCTCTCGGGAGACCTTACTGAGGCCTTTCAGTAGTTAAAGAGGGCTTTTACAAACATGGAAACAGACTTTTTAGAAGGCCTTGTTGCAATAGGACGTGAGGTAATGGCTTTAAACTAAAAGAAGGTAGAATCAGACTGTAAGGACGAAATTGTTTACTGTGAGGATGGAGAGGCACAGGAGCAGGTTGCCCAGAATGATGGTAGATGCTCAATCTATGGAAGCATTCAAGATCAGGTTGGACAGAACACTTAGTAACTGACTTAATTCAAGATGGCCCTGCTCATTGCAGGGAGATTGGTTTGGATTGGAAGGAATCTTTAAAGGTCATCTAATCCATTCCATGATTTCAATACACAAATTCAACATATTTCATAAATGAAATAAAAGAGAGAATTGCTTATAATGGCATGTTTAAATGCATACTCCATTTCCAGACTTCTGAGAATCATCATCAAGTCCATTTCAGTGGTAACTTAATGGAATAATTTTAATTGTGACTATACGGTATATTTCTGTGTATTAGGTAACTGAGGCCAATGTATTCAGAAACACACATGTTATATTTCTCTGAATAAACAAGTCCAAGCACCTCTCTTCCCCTTGGTGGCTTAATTCATTATTTGAGGATAAATGCACACACTACCTGGTTAAGAGTCCACTGAATCCCAACATATTCAAGCTATTGAAAATAAGAAGTCAAAAGTACTAGAAAAAAATAATTCTGGAAGAATTTATATCATAGGTCTGCTTAAAATCTGAACACACAAGGCAGTCCCCAGACAATTTTTGCTTTTGTGATCTATGGAGTAGCCAGTTACAGTACACAATATTCTAAACTCATGAGTTCTGATTTCATAAAACAGCTTCTGAGTTCCAATACCAGCTCATATGAGCACATATACTACAACCTAACCAGATCAGAGAATTTGCTAAAGTATAAAACCTATTTTTTATGTTACCATAAATAGTTGCTGTTCTTCTCAACACAGTTTCAGAAAATTTCAGCTTCCTGTCACTTTTTTTCTCACAACGAAAAATTTTCTAGCTTAATTGATCTCCAAGTAATGTCTAGCTAAAACCTACTTTTCTATTTTATGTAGCTAATTTTGGAAGAATCACATGAATCATCTCGAGTACTCTCAACTGCAGGAGTATGACAGTAGCCACTCATGGTTTTGCCATGACTGAGATGCAATTGTACTCAGGACACAACAGTAGTGAGTACAATTCTTTGTCCAGCACATGATCTTGGTGATGCTGAAGCTGGTCTCTAACACAGCAGGCAGTTTGCACACACTTCCACAACTTTTCCTCTTCGATAGCTGTACCTCTGACAAAGATAACCATGGTACCACTATCATTTATTCAAACATCAAAGGACCATGCAGATTTGATTTGACATACATATTTCCCCATATTTTATTGAGGCTGATCAGCTTCAATAAAACAATTAAAGAGAGCACTGTTAGTTCTGAAATAGTTGTCCAGTTTGTCAGTCTTTCCTTAGGCAATTATGGCATTCTTTGATGCCAATTATGGCATACTATTTGTACTTCATCTGAGTATTTCAGCGGTTCCCCTCCTCAGACCTCTCTGCAGGAGGGCTATAACTGGCATCTACATCACCACTAACTGTATTGCTTCTCTTTGACGAGAAATCATAGCAATAGTAATAGCACAGTCATAGTAATTTAGAGAGCATCAAGCACACTGGTACTTAACTGTATATAACTATACACTGGTGATCTAAATGTGTACAGGGAATTTCTCCTTAAGAAGTTAGGATTATGACCCTCAGGATAAAAAAAAAAAAAAAAAGAAAAGAAAAAAAAACAGGAAAGCAAAATTCAAACCTTACACTCCTAAGAGCTTGCCTATGATTTCAGTCAGAGGTAAGTATCAGTATTTGTACCACAAAAACAAACTTTCATCTTTAACATCCAGGAAGCATCTATTATTCAAGTTTGATTAGAGAAAAAAAAAATCAATATATTGCAGCCATATAAAAATGATAATGAGACATTTATTCTTTTGATATATATAATGTCAGCTTCTCAAAAGAGTAATCTTTCATTTTCCCACAGGCACACATTGGAGGGAATATTTTCTAGTTTTCATAGTCTATTTATAGATGGAATTAGTATTTTCATTTTTCTCTTCTGCAAAGAAAGGAGTATTATTCCAACAAAATGCAAACTATAGAGCTATCTTTCAGCAATAACAATGTAATAAGCAGAAGCTAAAATCTAAAGCTGCTGCAATGCTGTCAGACTGGTCACTGCAAAACCAAAGACTGCTTCTTTTGCTTGTCACATGATTTAAGCCCCAATGGCAACTAAGCACCAGGCAGCACTCACTAACCCCCCCATCAAGTGTAATGGGAAAGAAAAACAGAAATAAAGCCTGTAAGTAAAAAAAAGCTTAATAGTTGCAACAAAGTAAAATAGTATAATAATAGTACACAACGGTAATAGTAATAACAATAATAAATAAAACCCAAGAAAGAAAGTGATGCACAGTGCAATTGGCTAATCACTCACTGAGCAATGCCAAAGCCCATCCCTCTTTCAGGTAACTCCCCTCTTTATACACTGGGCATGATGTTGTATGTTATGGAATATCCCTTTGGCCAGTTCAGGTCACCTGTCCTTGCTGTGCTCCCCCCTCAGCTTTCTTGTGCACATCCTCAGTGGTCGAACATGAGAGTAAAAAAAATAAAATAGTCATGGGCTTAGGGCAAATACTCCTTAGCCACAACCAAAACATCCCTGTGGTGTCAACATTATTCTCATAATGAATGCAAAATGCAACACAGTGTACCAGCCACTGTGAAGAAATGAACTCTATCCCCACCAAAACCAGGACCACTTCCTTTAACTAATTAATTAAAGCACCACAGTGCCTTCTTGCATAAACTGTTTATTTTCTTTATTCAGATAAGAGTTTCCAGTTTTAGTGGTAAATGCATCTTGTGTTAAATCTGAGCACTACTTATTAGTCAAAGACTGTTCCCAGTTGACAGAACTGTGAAAAATGCAATTATACAAAGCTGATAGATTATTTCTTTTAAGAAGCAGAAACTGTCACATTTATTCAACCTGCATGTAGAAGCCTGCACACAATTATGTCAAAATGTGAAGATATCATGAACAGAAATTGGAGGAAATATTTTCAGGTTTTTAGTGTGTCCAGATTCTGCCTATTTAAACAATATAGATTAGAAGACACTACAAAAAATAATGCATTCAAACAGAATTTATTCACTTATCTTCTTAAAAAGGACTGTAATGAAGTTTCTCTGTTTACCTGATTGTTGCTACTTTTAAGCACTGTCTTTATGGTCTCATCCCTCTCTTCCCTCAACAAAAAAGATGCTAACACATACACTGAGAAGAATAAAAAGGGAACAAGGGAAAGATGGGATGACCCACATAAAAGAAAACTAGTGAAGTTGATAAGAGCGTAAGTCTCTGCAAAATTTCCTTTTTCACTTCTACCAGGGGCAACACAAAGGAGAAAGCATGACCTTTACAAACCAAGTGACCTCATAACTGCTAAAGCTTTTTAAAAAGATACCAGCTCTCTCTTATAATGAAAGTGTCCCACAGAAAGATGAAACACTTGTCTACTCACAGGACAGAGTAGGGCTTCTTTCCAGCCACAGAGTAAACTGAACTTCCAGTCTCTGGGTTTGAAAACTTGGACCTGAAAATAGGAATGAACAGTCTCACAATGTCCCAGGAGAATATGACTTATTCTGCTGCCAGCTGACTCTCTCCTAATTGATCTCAGAAATCAGCCTTTTTGCAACTAAAAGCTAAAGAAAAATATCTTACTTACATTTTGGAAGACGCTCTAATGATGGAATCTATAAATTCATATATACATGCATATATGCAAACAGCATATATTTGAATGTAAACTAATAAATTGACATTTAAGATGGAAAATACAACATACAGGTGCATTTTTTTCTGCAATTAAAGCCATGCTAAAGCCATGCTTAACTGCTAAAAGAAATATAATGCAAAATAACTTCTGATGATTCTGAATTTGCTTTAGACATCCTAATCTTAGGTTATTAGCGGCCTGGAGGGAGGGAGTCAGACTGCTTGCTTTCTTTTCAAAGTCAAATAAATTTGGAAAGATGTAATTAATATTTGTACCAAAACCCAAGACAAATCTAGTTAAAGAGTAAAACTGCAGAAAGTTTAACCTGAAAACTAAAGACCTGAACGTGAATACTTCTGCAGCTATTAGTGTAACATTTTGTCTATTATCCATATCCGTTAGATAGAAAACATGTTAGATGCCTAACGTGTAGCTAATAGAAAGTTTAATTGCTGTCATAGAGAAGAACCCAGAGAGCAAAAAAAAAATACAAATTTTCTCCTTCGTATGAGTAAAAAGTTTCAATGCTTGCATAATGATTCCACTGTTACAGGTGGAAAATATCTAGAATGCTATTAAATGGCTCAGTTTGCCCTTTGAATAGAGGCTTTAATGTGCAATGTAGATACACGCTGGCAGATCCATGCACAGGCATGTTCTTACAGTGCCAGAGGCCTCATACAGAAGTTTCCTAAGCGACTACCTTAAAATTTTAATATAACTTTTCACTTTGGTGAGAGCCTATGACAATGAATAAACCCAAAACATGAAGTCGCTTACTGGGTGGATATGAAGCCTTACTTGTTTTTTTGGTTTTTTTTTTAAATCTATTTATTTTTGAAAGACAAAACACCAGGAGCAACATGAGAATCCAAATGAAATTCCAGCAAACTTCCATTAACTTCAACCAAGCAAGAGTTTCACATATTCATATTGACACAGGCCAGCACATAAAACCTTTGACAAAGGGTAAGCCTGCATAACCAGGCGCTTAAGAGGTGAAAGATACCATAAATAACATCAGAGCCAAATTTGCTCAGTGTGCATTTCAGAAATTAAAGTAACATTCCATCTACTGCATCTTCTGAGATGCCTGCTGAGCTTGGCACCCGAACTGAGGCATTAAAATCTATTTCAAAGCTGTTGCATGAGTATAGAGAGGATTCTCTGGAAACAGCAAGATATCATCACAGACTAGCACAGGAGGTGGAGCAAGCAACATTCATTCACAGACTTCAAAAATAGCCTCCAAAGAACAGAAAAGTATTAGCTGTCAAACTACCTATTGGCAGTGCTCTCCAGAGCAGTCAGAATCAGTCTCCCCATTTCATCCTCATTTTTTTTCCTAGGCTGGGTTCAAGACCTCACAGCTCTCTCAGTGTTCACAAGATCTCCTCACAGTTCTCTCAGTGTAGTTCAGCTTTTATAAGGAAAACTGCCACCATTTCTCTATCTCATCTGTCCCTAGTTCTGTCATATTTTTTCTTGCCATCATCCAAATTTGTCTCACAAGGCTTTGCTTTGCCCTTGACTGCCTCAGTTCCCTGAAGTTACGGGTGCATAAGAAAAAGTAAAGAAAGTAGAAGATTCATAGGGTGAATCAGACCTGAAAGTCCATGGTTTTTGCAAATTTCATAGCTAGTTTCACTTCTGGAGCTCCAAAGTACGTCAGGTACCTTCTAATGTGAAATCTGTAATCTTCTCTTCACTTGGGTTTTCTATACTATAAAGCAATAATTTACCACGAAGTGCCTTTGGCTAGGGAGCACACCACTAGAAAGTTACACTGAAATGGTGTCCTATTTCATTCTTTCTGAAATGCATTTTAATATTTGGTGGGGGGTGGGAAAGTATTTCTTAGAAGCACATTAAGATGTTTGATACTCCCAAAGTTGAAAACTGCCTGAGGAAAACACCAGTTGTGACTTTATGAGCTTTTCTATGTGGGAAACAGGTCTAAGGTAGTTTGTTTTTTGTTTTTGTTTTTTTTTTTTTTAATAAAAACAGTAAATATTTTTAAAAGTGGCATACAGAGAAAATGCCACTATTTTCACACAGAATATTTACACACACAAAAAAGTAGGTCAGCATTAGCTTATGATTCCAGCTCAATTTCATCCTTAAACATCTGTCACTGGTAACATGGTTCTCCTTTTGTGTCCCTGTCAGACCTCTCCCACTTCAGTCTTATGGAAATAAAACCCACAAAAACCAAAAAACAAACAACAACAACAAAAAAACACCTCTTTTCCCACTCTTCAATTTAATAATTTTTCCCTTCCTGTCTACTCCAATCTCCTTGCTCACTCTCTGGTAGCCTTCATATCTCACAGCAATATTGTTTTTCCTTTCCTACACAAGGTCCCCAACAAAAGATAATGAAGGAAAATAAGTCCATTACAGATTAAGGTTGTTACCACTGTTATCCCTGAATGTCATGCTTAAGAACATTCATAATAAAGAAAGAACAAGTCTCACATCTCCACCTCACTACAACATGGGAAATAGTCTGGATTGTAATTTTTATGTATCATTTGATATGTGTATAATTTGAAGACTGATATGTTCACACATCTGTACGGCTTTGCATCATTTATTCTAAACACAACTGACTGTTCAAAATGTTTGGATTATAAGCCTAACAAAATGGACTGATTTACTTGAATGTTCTGTCCATCATCTTAAGACATGCAGTGGTTATACACCTGTTACATTGCTCCAAAAATAATTGTGTTTTCAAGAAGAAAATCTGAAAATTATACTAATTTTCTCAAAATTTTCTTTTCCTATTTCCTACAAAGCTAGTACTATTTCTAGTGAGCACTTACTACCGCTCTCTTTTTTTTTTCAAATATAATTGTGTAAATAAACAAATCATGCATTACACATGCACTAGTGATTCCCAGAAAGCTAGAAGTTTGGAAGAAATGCTTATGTCAACTTGCAACACCTGTGAAGATAAGGCACTTTCATCCTGTGCTGCAGAAATATGATTTTAAGTTAATGATTCTTCTAACTTTCATGTAATATGATGAACATATGTTATTTGTGCATTTCATAAAGGCTAGCATATTTATTTATATATCTTCCAGAGAATAAAAAAAAAATCCATTTCCTATTTTGAAATTTGGGCAACTTATCAATTCAAGTTTTTGAGAACCAAGAAAAATGAGCAAAAATAGGAAAAAACAAACAAACACCACCACCTCAAAAAAAACCAAAATCAAACAAAAATATCCCTGAAACCAGATGCAGCTATCTAAGCATTCGGTCTGTTCTTCCATTACAGATTGCTGAGGAAAGGTGACAAGAATGTTGGATGAGAGCTTAGAGTACAAACCCACATTTTTTCTCTAAATTTTGGGGATAAAACATATCACTCAAACCTCCAGAAGATTTTGAAAGAGGCTGTGTCATTGCTGCTCAGTTAATCTGCATTTCTACGTATTCATCTATATGCTCACATGTACACATACACACACACCCCTTTATTCGACCTTTCTCCCATGCATTTACAACAAACAACCCCACACTGCAAATCCACCGAGAAGTACTTAAAGATAACTTCAAAGTTATATGGTTACACATTCAAGAGCCAAGAGGCAAAGTAACAGCTAAACTTTTAGATTTATTGCAGTGGCTATCTCAGTACTCATACAGATACAGCAGAACCTGTACCTTCCAGTATTTCAGAGTCAAAGAAATAATTAACTATTTCTAAATCTGCCTAATTTTTAAATCTTATTGCATTAAAATTAAGATAATAACTAGAATAATAAAACTGAGATAATTAACAGTTTTTCAAGAAACTCCAGATCAGTGCTATCCAAGGTATCTAAAAGAACTGCATAGGGAAAGAAGATGTTTGTTCTTTCACAAATAATAATTCTATATAATTTGACTGTGATGAATGCTGGTACTGAAGTGAGTGAGATTTAAATGCTACTCTCAGCAATTAAACTAAAAACAGCTAAATAGCTGTTCTAAAGTTACTGAAGCATAACTCAAGTAAGTAATTAGGCAAGGCATAAAAATACTGCTTCAAATTTATTATATACACAGCTCACATCCAAAGAAATATGTTCTTTGGGATCCTTTTTTCCCAGCTCTCTTTCTTGGACAAGGACGAGCATAAGAAAAAATAATTATATTTTGCTGCTTTTTTCTGCAGTGATAAACCAGACTGTCAACTGCATATTGCATCACTTCTTCAGGAATCTGCAGGATTTGGGGTCCTGACTCTGCTTTTCCTTCCATCCCATCTGTTGCGGAAGTGAACATAGAAGGGTTTCTGTTAACATTTTAAAAGACTGTTTTAAGGAGGCAGGTATCATTTTAATGAAGGAGATAGGGTGGTTTTTTATGGTTTAAGTTTTCTCCTGGCTCAACTGCATCTCATCTTTTTCCTGGTTTTATGTTAGTTAAAGTATCTTTGACACAATCAGGTTAGAAATTCTGAATATTTATGCCTATAAGCTCTATAGAGAAAAAGAGGCATGGGCTATCAAAACCAAAATATTCTACTGACAGTTCAAGATTTTCCAGCCCTGTTATGGATTTGATCAGCAACATGGTCTTTGTCTTCCAAAGGAGTAAGAATACAGAAGATGACAGTATAAAATATACAGCAAAGCTGAAGCCATGGCACAACATATTGCCATATATTCATTGGTATGACCACTACTATAAGCACATTCCAAGCATTTATCTCCTCCTGCAGCAGCTGCCTGCAGCTCTACTGACCTGGTGCCTCAGCAGCTCGGGCACATCAAATGGACCTGAGTCAAAGGAGCCTGGAAGATCTCCT